GCTAGTGGTGTGGTGGGAGACCAGCAAATGTGGCCCAAAGACCAAGAAAACCAGCTTCCCGATAAGAAAATCGGCTGGCGGGGAGAAAGTGGTCTCCAAGGAGAAAAGGTGGTCTCCTACCCTTGTACCACCTCCCAAACAAGGAAAACAAGGTTCATGCCAAAAATGAACCAACACGGATGCAAAACGAGAGTTCGGGGGGTAAAGCGCGCGGCCGGGTGACCTGAAAACTGGCTGTTGAGCACAAAAAGTGGTGTATGACCACAAAAGTGGTCTCCCTGACCACAGTGTCCCTCTAGACAGAGGAAACAAGGTGTGTTCCAAAAATTGTGCCAAACAGAGAATGTTAAGCAGTCCCGAACCGAGGCGCACGGCCAACGGCTCCGAAAATCGAAAAACTAGTCTCCAAACGGGAACAGTGGCCTACGACCACGAAAAGTAGTCTACGACCACTGAGAGATGGTCTACAAGACCTCTCCCTCCTTTCGGGAAGAGAAAACAAGACTTAGTCCGCAGACTGAGTCAAAGTACAAAGAGTCCTAAGGTCCGGAGGTGAGGCTCTTAGCCAAGAACTCCGAAACCTCGAAACGAGCACAACATGCACAATCACCGAGCGCTCAATCGATGACATCTGAGTCTTAAGGTCGGTCAAAAATGGGGTGTCTACAGTAACGCTCCAAATTTCTAGCCCAAATGATAATGCAATAATCATGGCTCTTTCAAGGAAAACCGAATATAAATCTCCAAACTTACATTACATGATACAATAGTTCTTCATGCAACAATACATTAATCGAACAAGTAAATAAACAAATAAATACCCCCAAGGGTTTACAAGTTTCCAAGGCTTGAGCCTGGTTACACAAAACGGTTATTCAAACCCACACACATACAGCCCTTGGCTTACATACAGAGTCACAGCAAAATGAGAGTCTCGTACTCTCAACACACATTTCCTCGCCTTTAGTTAGGCAGCATCACGATATCTTTTCCTCCAAAAGAATCCCGTAGAATGAGCATAAAGCCCAGTAGGAAATCCTTAACAAAGTATATACATTTTATACAAGTCACAAGAGATGAAATGCGCATGCCATGCTATGCCCTTTTGAAATAAATTCACATCTTCATCTTTGAAAACCATCATGCTCAATGATGTAATGCAATTTCAATTTCTCAAAACTTAACAATTCATTTCAAGAGCGGTAAATACGACTCTGGTAATCCCTAGGTCGGTGTCTGTAAGTAGACTATACAAGTAGTACCAATTTGTCATTTTTACCGGTATTAACCGGAAGGCTTGACACCTATTCGCGTGGGTTTTTGGTCTTTCACCCTGGATTCTCATGCCAACTTATTCAATATCATCTACACCACCTATCAAGACTTACCAACGTATTTACCCCAAAACCATTCCATAAAAACTTGTTTCTCAATATTCTTTTCTCAATTCAAGTTTTCAAATCAACTTTCAAAGTTTAATGTAATCAAATGAATTGATATGCCAATAGCACAAGATAAATATAAATATTGTTATTCCAATTCATCATCTAAGGAATAACACAATTCCCTCTTCTCAAGTATCCTCAACAATTAGTCATTTCAAGACTATTTCAACGTTTTGAACAATAATTTCCAAAATAAATAATAATTCTCATATACCCTAAAATTCATCATTTATATAAACATAAATAAGAAATTTTCCAAACATCCATTTACTTTGACACACAAAATAAATATAACAATATCATTCATGGATTTTCAGTCTCTAAATTTTTTTTCCAAATTCTAGGTTTTCTCACCAAAACTACACAACTCAAATCTTTTGAAAGAAAACTTTCCAAAATCATCTTTTCTTCAATCAACGAAGATCAAAACCCATAAGATCATTTTAAAAGAACAAAAGACAAACCCACTTTCAAAATCGCTTAATTTCTTGAATCAACAATCAATTTTCAAAGCTATCGAAAGATGATTTTGAAAATCATATAGATCCTACAAATATATATATATATATATATAAATCCCTACCGCAAAATCCCTACCTCAAGTTTTGAAGAAGAAATGAGATGAAACCTCAAAATTTACGATGTCGAAACTAGATCTCTACCGTACACAACGAAGCCCTCGAGAAGTTACACAACTTTAATGAAGAACTTCGGTCTAACTCCCAAAGGATTTTGAGGAATCAAAGAGAGAAGATGACTTCTAGAGAGAGAAGCTCTAGATTTGAAAATTTTGAACAGCTTTAGAGAGAGAGAGAGAAGTGAAAAAAGTGATCTGAAATTTCCCCTTACGGATATAATATGGTCCGCTCGAGTGTGAAATACACTTTTCGTAAGCAATTTCGAATGCATTTTGCATTTTTGCTTTCGGCGAGCTAATTGGGCAGCTCGACCCCCGTAAGTTGACCGGGTCAAAATCGGGATCGCTATACCAATTCTCCAGGTACTAGCTGGAAGATAATGGTACATCTCATTCTTAACGCAGTATACATTGCCAACTATCACAACATGTTAAGAGCACAAATAGCAAAAGTGTAATACATACACATAATCTATTCAACACAGTAGTGTCATCCTCCACCGATGACCAAGGATAAAACCTCTAAACACATGTACTTAAAACTCGTAATACAACGATCCAATTTTCATGAGACCTTAAGTCCAACAACAATATTAGTAAATAAAATGTTCATAATCCAACTTCAAGTTCATTTCTAAATCTAGAATGTGTTGTGATTTCATTCTCTTTTCAAAATCGATTTTCTCATTTTCCAAATTACCATATTCCAATCTTTATCCAAGATCCATTCTCTTCATTTCATAAACTAAAATCCATGGATATCAAAGCCATAATCCAAAACAATTCTAGTATCATGATTAATTTTCATTTTTAGCTATTAACACATTTACACAATCCATATTAAACAAAATACAACCATTATTCACATTTACTCCTTTTTAATTCATTAAATCAATAATATTAAATCAGGGTATTTTCTCCCTCTCAACATAAACATGTTGAACTACTCCCCAATTAATCAAACAACAATAAACTTAACAATTTCAACCCCAAATATCATACCCTAGATCCCCTTTTATGATTTTCAAAGAAATCCATAATGGATATGATTTTTATGTAATAAAATCTACCATATATCTATTTATAAACGGGGTATTAAAAAAGAACAAAGAAATCCCTATCTCTTGAGGTGATGAGAAGAAAGCCGAAAAAATCCACGGAAACGAAAACACGACCCGCTCAGATTAAAATGAAGCTCTCGCGATGCTTTACATTTGATATATGGAACTAGGGGTAGGAAATCACTCAAAATAGATTAAAATCAGGGTAAAAGAGCTTGGGAGCTCAATTATGGTGGACAGGAGAGAGAGAGAGAAAAGATCTTGAAAAGTGACTTTTTAGGGCACTAACAGACTTAAATACACGAACCATCGTGGCCGTGGACTTGCCACCTCAGTAGGTCGTGGACGCGATCGCCCAGTCACTTTGGTAGCTGGTGCAACCACCTTGACCGCAAAAGTGACCCTCTTACTCGTAGCTTGACACTACGACCCAGCACGGCCTACGCACTCACTCCCTCATACAAAGACCTGAACCCCAATTTTGGTCACTGCCAGTTGTAGCCCATCGCGGGCACGACCTTCATGCTAGACCATCACGACTGCAAACCCCATGGTTGCAAGTGCGACCTGTCCAAGACAGAAAGTTTGGGCTACTGTTCCACAGCTAGCCAAGACGCCCTAAGGGCGTAACCCACATCAACAAGGCCACAACCACCTGGGAGAACCTTATATCCCAACCCGATAACATAAAATGGGTCAGCCCCGGACCCAAGCCACCACAAATTTATTATTTTCAAATTGTATATTTTAATTTTGATGTTGTGGTGGTGGTGGTCATGATATGATGGTTATGGTGGCGGTGGTGGTAGTGATGACGGTGTAGGTAGCAGTGGCGAAGGTGATAGCGTAATGGGCGTAGTAGTAGTGGCGGTGGTGGTGACATGATGGTAGTGGTGGCGGTGGCCGTGGTGGTGTGGTGGTGGCGGTAGCAGTAGCAGTAGTGGTAGATGATGGTGGTGGTACTAGTAATAGTGGTGGTGGTGGTAGTAAATTTATAATAGTGTATATCAATGCTTATATTTCATTTTTATAAATTTAGTCAGAATTAAGTAAGTTTGATATGATTTAAAATTTATTTAGGTTTTAACATATATTCTAAATACCAATTCACCCACAATTTTTATTTTTTTTAATACGGGGTAAAAAAAATTTATTTTTCATAATTTTTAAGATCAACTTGTAACATTTGAATCTTTTTTCGATGATTGGGCTTGTTGAAGTGACTTAATTGCTGAGGTGTCATCCACCTGTTTTCTGGTAGCTCTCGGGCTAGAGAATTTAGGTGGGTGCGGAATTTCTCTTGTTTTTAATAAGTTACCTAACAAAAGTCTATTATGGTGACCATTCTATACAGGCAGTGGCTTTGGTCCAGTCCAAGATCGGACTGGACCGTGCTGTTGGGCCCGTGAGGGCCCACCACGGGTCCTGTTTTGATAATTCGAACCATTCAATGTATAGAACTCGTTAAGTACTATATGCCTGTAAAAAATTACGTTGATCGGATATCGATAGCTATGTGAACAAAACAGTTTTTTATCAACCGTTAATTGTTTTACCGTCCATTTTTTTTATACAAAACTGATTTGATCACATAGCTATTGTTATCCGATCAACGTGAATTTTTACAGGCATGTAGTACTCGACGAGTTCTACATATTGAACGGTTCGAATTATCAAAACGTCCCCAAAAAATGAGCCCCATGGACCGAACTAGACGGATCGAGTCTTGAACATATATATATATATATATATGAGTATGTATATAGATGGAAATCGTACCAGAGATAGAGAGTACACAGATCGGAGGTAAAGAATGAGAGGGAGACATATTGGAGCTTCATAGGTAGAGAGAGAGAGAGAGAGAGAGGTTTCAATTTAAGACTTTTAGGTAGCTATGCCAAATTCCAAATATTAAAAAAAAGTAAAAAATAAAATTGCACCACACATTGCAGCAACATAAAGTGGTTTGCTCACCATTATTGACCCTTGATGTTGATTTTATCCATTCCATTTTTTTTCCCCTATTGATGGCAACAATTAATTTTTTGATTTATTCAGTTCTTGGTTTAATTAGTCAAATCAATAGAGGCTAAAAGAGGTTGTTGATTGATGATCTTAAGGTAAAAGGGTAGTAGAAGTAGCGGAGGGAAGTGTTTGGAGGAAAGAAAATTTGGCTATGGAAGAAGAAAATATTCATCATGCAAATCATGGTTATCTGTTGCATGGAGCAAGGATATGCAGTGTGTTTCTATCAAAGATGGTTGAGCTGCCGATGAAGACCGGAGCTCCAGTGAGAGCTTCCATCATCTTCTTCCTCATCCTCTTGATTGGTGCCTTTATATCTCTCCATTGGTTTGATGTTGTCCCTGTAAGTTTCTCTTCCACAACCTCATTTTCCAGGAAAATTCACCAATCCCTTTTCTTTTCTTCTCTTATATATTGCTTTTTCTCCATGCACCCTTGAATTAACATCGTATAACTCACCATGAATCAATAGAAGAGGCTACCAAGTATAGAGATGCCAATAACAGATTGAATCTATGGGTGAGTCAAAAACCTGAGAATTTGATTTTTGTTAGTGTTTTCTAAACTTAACAAACCTTTACTTTATTAGTAATTGTAGTTATTCAGAATTTATTATGAAAGAATCGGTTCAAAAGTTGTGTCTGAAAGAGATTTCAGTTAAACAATTCATATATTTTTTTTAAAATTTTTTCTTTAATATATTGTTTTTTTAACAGATATATGTTAGAATTTTTTAATTTTTAAATTCATGTAAAAATCAAACTTGCTGTCAATCCACTTCCTTCAAGTCACTATCATATACGAATATTCCATGAATCTACCTTGGGAATTGGGATAATGGTCACCTGTCCAGTTCAAAAAAAAAACAGAAGAAAAAGGTCACCTGTCAGATAAGTATATCCAAAACACTGCTATTAGTGAAGGAAACAACAATGATTCATCCCACTAAAAACATCACCATTAATAGTACTAATGCATTAAAAAAGTAAAAAAAAAAAAAAAATACACAACTCCAAGACCAAAACATCACATCATTAATGACGGGACCCACTACTACCTAATTAGTGGGAGCACTAATTAGTACTCCCAAACATTTTTCGCGAAGGAAAAGCTTCTCTTTCCGCACTATCGGTTTTCAGGGCACTGTTGAACCTTCATTATTCATTATAAAATTTACATTATTAATGGAAATTGTTAGTGGGTAGGGATGGTTAAGTACATTATTTTTATAAAATCTTATATTCACTAGATAGACATATAATTAAATTATATTTGTGTTAACAGTAAGTATAATTTTAATAATAAATTATTGATATAAATATGATTTGATCAAGTGACTATCAATATCTGATTAATGTGATTTTTTTTCAAAAATGAAATATTCGAAGAGCACTATACATTAACGGTTCAAATTATCGATGCAGATTCCGTGATAAGCCCATAAAAATCCAACAATATCCTCCAATTGAAAAAATAAACTTAGTCTTAGAAAACTATTTGAACCACCACAACAACAATATTGATAATTAAATGTTGGAATAATCACCTCTTTTAACGTATATTCTGTATGTATCTTATTATGTATTTTGTAGTATACTTTTTAATAAATAATACATAATCTTGTGATAATGTTATCACATTTTATAATTCAAAAATAAAATTGCATATTTTTGTAATTCAAAACTATTTTAATAAAAAAAATGTAATATTTAATCATGTGCTTTAATTTGTGATTTTTCCATTAAATAAGAATGACTTTTGAAAACTTTAAAAGTGATGCTTTTACAAAAGTAACCCCACATATAACCTTCCCTTGAGTTGCATGTATGTTGTTAATTTAATAGCTACATGAGATTCTTAATTTTCATGCTCTCAGTCTCCATCTTTCAAGCACTATCCAAACATAAGGATGCCACAACTCTCAATTAAAAAGTTTAGGATTCTTTTAGCTTGGTCATTTTTTATTTTTTTATTTTTATTTTTAGACAATTCTAAAAATTTAAAATTTTTAAAAAAAGTTAAACAAATTTAGACTTTTTTTTCATAAAAAATTTCAACAAAATTTGGTTCATTTTCATTTTTAGTGAACTTAAAAAAAAAAAATTGAGGATTGTCTAGTCTAGACCAACTTTAAAAGTAAATTTTTTTGACACAATTTAAAAAAAAAATTCACTAAAAAAAAAAGAAAAGAAGCTAATGAAATGCTAAGTTATAAATTGATGCCAAAGAAAATTCTTTTAACATATCATATTGTGAAGAGAGAATTTAAGATATGGGACTGAGAGAAATGAGGATAGTGACACTCTTAACTAATTATACATAATAAAATCTGTCATAAACTCATGTAAATGACGTGGCTGGCCATTTCTTTTCTTTCCTTTTTTTTTTTTTTGGTCAAATAATACCTGCAGTCCCTATAATTTTTTGCTTGTGTTAATTTGGTTATCTTAATTTTATCAATTTTATACATTTTGTCCCTTATTTTTTTAAAATTCTATGAATTTTGTCCAAATGATAACAACCATTAAGAAATCGGACAAAAATCAAAAACAAAATAATCCGTTCAAAATGGAATGAACCATTTAAATTGGACGAAAATCTAGGAGCGTGTACACAACAAAATTTTCTCTTTACCCCCTTATTTTTTATTTTATTTTATTACAATTATATCCCTAAACAAAATTACCAAAAAATATTAAAATTTTAAAAAATAAAACCCCAATTTGAGGTGGTTGGGGGACTACAAAATTGTTGGTCGTGGGAGTTGGGGGTTATAGAGATGGTGGTTGCGGTGTGGGGAAAGCTATTGGAGGTGGTTGGAATTGGAGGACGAGTGGTTATTGAGTTCCTGTTTGGAATACTAATGATCTAAAGAGAGGATGAGAAGTTGGGATGGGGATAATTTTGGGATTAAGGAGAGTAATGAAATAAAGTGTAAAATCCCTAATAAGCAATTTTTTTTGTGTGGTGTAAGTAGAAGCTTCTCGGAAATCTTTCAATATACTTTGGGGAGAATGAGTGAATGAATTATTATGCCGTTTGATTAGTCTGAGTGAATGAATTATTATACAATTTGATTAGTTTAATTGCTAAATGATATTATCAATTGAACTAAATTAACACAATGTGAAATTTTTAAAAATAAAATGAATTCAATTAAACAATAAAGATCAAACTAACATAATCACGGCACGGCCTGAAGTGGGGGTACAAGGGAAAAGGTGATGTAAGTCCATTCTTTCTCCTTTATTGAGCAAATAGTGCGGGGCAGAGTTCTCACTTGGGCAAGGAATCCATGACTAGCGGGATTGGATTGGCTCAAAACCCCTTTTTTACTCTAGCTGTTCCAAGAGTCTCCGCTAGTTGAACTGCGTCCTGTAGACATCATGTTCCGCCCGTCCCCTTCGTCAACTGTTTTATCAGGATACTATTCCCTAAAATTTACTCTTCTTTCCTCTTTAATAATGACTTGTGAAAGTATATATATTGATTCCATTACTCCTTTTGTCTATTTCTTTCTTTACTTTTTTACAATCCAATAGTAACTATCACATCTAATAACTTGTAAAATAATTTTTCTCATTCATGAAATCATCTAAAATTATTACAAATAAGTTTTTCTTAATTATCAAACTATTCAAAAATTTAAATACAAAACCGAAAACACATCGCGCTTTTATTAACCACTAGTGTGTATGTATATATATTTCTATCATTCTTATTAGTTTTTTTTCCAGCCTGCTATTTCAGATATTTCACTTCAAAAGACAATTCTACCCTCTAATAGTTCCGACACATATCTGGTTAGAATCAACTGCTCAATCACATGCCCGACTCATTCTTTGGCAACAATCAAATCGGACGAATCCTCATCATCGGGGACGTGCCCGGAGTACTTTCGATGGATCCACCAAGACCTAAATCCATGGAAGGAAAAAGGAATCACTAAAGAAATGGTGGAAAGTGCTAGGAGCAAAGCACACATGAGAATAGTGGTAGTGAATGGAAGAGTATATTGGAAGAAGTTGAGGTGGGTGTATCAAACAAGAGATGTGTTCAATATTTGGGGCATATTGCAACTGTTGAGATTGTACCCTAGAAAGTTACCAGATTTAGATATTATGTTTGAGTGCGGAGACAAACCAGTGATTCAAAAGAGTGACTATAGCGGATCAAACGCCAACAACGTGACTCCAATATTTCACTATTGTGGGAGTGATTCAAGCTTGGATATAGTTTTTCCTGATTGGTCCTTTTGGGGTTGGTAAAGCTTCTCTTTTTATTTACTTACTAATTTTTCAAGTAGGAGTAATAGTGTTATTGAAATCCCTTTGCTATATAGCTCTTTAAAGAGTCAGCACCACAACATAGGTACATTATTACGTATTTTTTTTAAGTATATATTACGTTTTTTTTTTTGACAAATTTATGTAACTGTCTGATAAATTTATGATAGTTTGTGGTTTATAAATAAAATTATACATTGCACATGTTTTCATCAAACATTATTGAATCACAAAATACGTAATATTGTCATAAAAATATATAATTTCATTTTTAAACTATAAATTATCATAACTCTTTACATAATATTTACTACAAAAATAGATAACATGTTCCTAGACATGCAATGTATAAATGTTGGATCTACTATATCTCTCTGTTCTAATGCTTTGTGTATGAGAAACTTTTGGGCCCAGAATGGACCCAAACAAGTGTTGAGATCTACAAGCTTCTCAGAGTTTGTGTGTTAGTGAGGCTGACTCATCTAGAAACTAATGAATTAAGAATTATTTTTTAGATAGGATGAGTAATGTTATATATAAATAAATTTCTCATTATATTTTTTAATCACCAAACATAAAGGTAACAAAGTATGACTTCTATTTTACGTGTGACTTCTATTTTTTGTGTCTAGTGACTAAAAAAATCATGCAAGCAATCAAATTATGTATAATATTTTCCTTTGTTATGTAAAAAATCACATAAGATTTAAAAAATGGTGACATATGGGCAGTGAGATAAAATAATTGTTTTAAAAAAAATTACATACCCAAAAAATAACTTAAAAAGTATACAAAATTTGAACTTATATTATAAATTTTAAATTTTAGAATCACATCCATAATGAATTTGATTCCTACATTTTAAATTCTTAACATTTTCTTTTGAATATTTTTTTGAATTTATAATATTATTTATATAGACAGATGCATTTTAGATAGTAAACTATTGCACTAACAATTTTTCAATATTTTTTCAGTAAGCCAGTGAATTTAAAATTGGGACTCATATATTGTACCTAAAATTTGAATGCATGGTGGAGATTGAATCAGAATATTGTGAAATTCATATGCAGAATGAATTTGAATTATATATTGATATTTTAAAATAAATTTTTTTAATTTCTAATCTAGTAATATTGTTGAATATTTTTGGAAATGGCAGGCCGGAGCTCCAAATAAAGCCATGGGAAGCCCTTAGGAAGGATCTAGAAGCAGGCAACAAGAGAGTGAAATGGATTGATAGGATACCCTATGCTTATTGGAAAGGGAACCCAAGAGTTGGTTTAGTCAGGAATGAGCTTCTCAAATGCAATCTCACTGACAGACATGATTGGGGTGCCCTCATTTACGATTTGGTAACAATTTCTTCCCTTTCTTGTTACTATATATATATATACACTATGCAAACAATTTTTAAGAGCATGACATTCATATTTTAAGTTCATATGGTGGAATGACTTTTTAAGCTTGTTTAGTAAATGGGTTGAATTTAATTAATATATGAGTTTGTTAGATGTGTTTGAGATTGCAATATCATTTCAGGATCAAACTTGGGACAAATTTTTAGGTATAAAGTTGACTTAAGCTTTGCTTGGGTAACGAAATTATGTATTTCATTAGGTCCGGCCCAAACCTAATCCAACTCAATATTTGTCAATTTCTTGCATTTCACTAGATTGTCCATACATACAACTATTACCATTATCTTCAAAATGAATTCATTCACACTTTTTGTGTAAATAATATGTAAATTGTGATTGGTCTAAAACAATGTACCTTATATTTAAAAAGTGTATTGACTCCGGTCAAAGTTGTAGACTCTGCTATTTTGAATTAATAGAAATTTGTGTTTTGTTCAAAGTGTGTAAACAAAATTAGACAATTCTTAAAACGATATTAAATTATACTTCTCACTCTTTCAACTTTTATAAAAATTCATTTTAGCCCTTCAACTTTTATGAAAAATATTTAAGTGCTCAAATTTCACTTTGTGTTTCAATTTGATCGTATTACCTACATTTTAAAATTTAAGAGTTGAAAATATAAGGGATGACTCCAAACTTTTATACTGCTATAATCAATTGGGAGTAGGTCTCACATAATCAATTTGATTTGAATCTCGCTTTTATTGTGAACAGGTAATAAAAAATACAATAAGAAATGATGCATTTATAGTCGGGCTGTCTTATGAGTGAGTAATGTTATATCCAGATTGGGCTCTATTATTATTCTTACCTGATATTGCTACCACTAAACACAAAGGGACAATTTGAAAAGATTAACTTTTTTGTCTTTTTTTAATTTTTTGATTTTTTTGAGTCATATTATTTCTCTATTTTTTTACACAAAAAAAGTTAACAAAACTTAAAAAGTCAAAAAAATTAATTTTTTACCATCTTTTTAAAATACCACAAAGCAGTGGGAATTAAGATTTCAAACTTTAAAGAACGTCTCCCAAAAAAAAAAAAGGGTAAGTAAACTATGCTTTAGCTGACACAAAATAGTTCTAGGATATATTTCTAAGAAAATGTATTGAAATTCCAAATATATCACTGTCCTTCTCCTTTTGAGTAATACTCTGTTTCTTATTTTCCTTTTATTTTTATTTTTTTAGATCTCAATTTAGCAATTTTGCAGAATTGGGGACTTGCACGTCAAGGGAGGTATAAAAGTACGGATTTAGCAAAACAATGCACTCATAGGTAGGTAACTAAATCCTTATTTATTTTAGCATGATTCCTTACTTTGAGTTTACTTGCACGAGGTAACTTGCTTTTCGTGCATAACATGAAAGAGACGAGGCTATAGCTTAGTTAGGCCTAAAGTCTCGTTTTTAGAATAGGTTATTTTAATATTTTTTTTAATTTTTTAATTAAAATATAAGTTAAGAAATTAATATGTTTGAAATAATTTTTTGATTTTTTACAAAAAAAAGATATACAAAAAATACAGAGAAAATAAAATCTTTGACTTTTTGAATAGATTATAAACTTTTTAAGTTTTTTTAATAATTTTTTGACTTTTAAACTAAAACAAACTCTTGTCGAACAAGACCTAAGTTTGAAGATAAATTGATAATATTGAACAATAATATTGAGGTTAAATTAGTAATGCTAGTGTTAAACCAATTTATTTATTTATTTATTTTCAATTTGTTATTTTATTTGTTTTTTTGCTGTAGACAAAGACTTCTTTCATATTCTCTCTCCAACAGAGAAAATTAATGAGCTCAAAATAACTTCCTTATATTCTACTTTTTTTTTCCTTTTTTTTCTCCCCCTCTCTATTCTCTTTCAAGAGGAGGACACAATAGTGTAAGAGATATTCATTTTTTAAATTCTCATATTCTTTTTATTAGAATTTGATCCATGTATTCATAAGTGATAGTCACTTATGTTGGAAAATTTGGTTTTATAAGGCATATTTGGAGCCAACTTTGAGCTCAAAATTGAGTGGGCCCCAAATGTCATTTGGGATAGGTCTGAAAAAGTGATGTATTCCTTGTCACATGATAAGTCACACGGTGAATACGGTTCGTCAAAACCATTTATGAGTGAATGAGAAGTTGACGTCGTTTTCGGGTTTGTAGAATGGATAATTAAAGAAATAAATGTGGGTTTCTTTGAAATGAGTTGTCCCACATTGAAACTTTAAGAGAACTTGTGTATGTATATAAATTCTAGATTACAACCCTTGAGTTGAGCCCCAAGGGGCACTCCAAGTTTGTAGAAATGAGGAGTTATGGACAATTAGAACCTTGGCTCAAAAAATCAAACTCGCGCGCGTGCCGCCCCGGGCCGACCGAGCCGTGCCAGACGCGGTTATGGGTCAGGTCGGTTCTAATATTAATTTTTTGGAGAAAATTTATGTGAAGTTTTTCCAAAAATTGAATTTAAATTTTGTACCAAAATAGAATTTAATTTTCTGTCCAAACTGTATCCGATTTTCAGTCCATTTTCCAGCAGTTCAACAGGTTCAAACTGTCCAACAGATTGGGCAAGATTGCCCAGCAGTTCCGAGTAATTTTAAAACAGCCAAACAGTTTGCATATCTGTTCAAAACAGTTTCAAATCTGTCCAGCATCTGTTCAATTCAATTTTACACCTGTTCGGTTCAAAATTGAACTTGTTCGGGCAGATCTTTTTGCCTATAAATACCAGCCCTATTCCAGCAAATTTTGCATCCAAAAATCAGTCTGAAATTTATATTTTTTGCTGTCTTATTTTTTGCACTATTGCATATATTCTTCATATTAGCTTTTAGGAATTTTTATAGAGAGTATAAAACATAAGGTTCTAGTTCGCCGGACAAATTTGTTTGGAGTGCTACTACAAATTTGTGAAGATCATTGTATCCTGGGAGATAGATACCACTTAACCGTAAGTACAGTAATGGAGCGAATCTATCTTAAGGACAGAGTGTCACACACTCGACTTGGTCTTTAAATATTCATTCGGTTTGGTAAAAATAAATTCGGTATGTAATTTATTTTATTTGTTTGATTTGTTTCAATTTATTTATTTTTCACAGAAGATTGTTCCAACAATCTTAAGATAGATTCGAATTATTCTATTTATTTTCGTTTATTTCATTTCTTCTTTTTTCTTCTTACAGAAATTATTTTCTGTGATTTTACAAAACAATATTCTGGTTGGAAAACAAATAGTAGTAATATACTGTCTATTTTATTTGACAACTAGTAGTAATATACTAGTGTCATTCACAATTCAGAATATTTGTTTGTGAAGTTTGTCAGAAATTAATTTTGGTTTTTTTAAATAATTTATGAGTGTTCATTAATTAAAATTAAATTCATTTTTTTTTAATTATTGAAGCATTACAGAAATTTAATTTTCTCCGTGGAATTAATTTGGTTAAATAAGATTTTATTTTATTTCCAAATTAATTGAAAAAAAAAGTTACATTTTTACAGAATTTAATTCTGTGAATTTGGATTAATTTTCTATGTAATATAAATTCTAATTATAATTTTGTTTTATAATTTAGAATTCATGGCTACTGAAACAAATGCTCAAACAAGTACTAATGTGGTGGCTGTAATTGCGCCAACCCCCTCTCCTGTTGTGACAGTACCAGTAAATCACAGTGAGAAGCTAGAGAATTTCTCTAGACCTGATTTTAAAAGATGGCAACAGAAAATGTTGTTCTATCTTACAATTCTGAACCTGTCTCGTTTTCTCAGCGAGGATGCTCTTGTTTTGAAAGATGATGAAACCGAGCGGCAAGTGGTTGTTGCGGTCGATGCCTGAAAACATGCTGATTTCCTTTGCCGAAACTATATCTTGAACAGACTTGACAACATATTATACAACGTCTATAGTCCTATCAAGACAACAAAGGAACTTTGGGAGTCTTTGGAGAAAAAGTACAAAACGGAAGATACCGGCTCAAAGAAATTTGTGGTTGGCAAATTCCTGGACTTTGTGATGATTGATTCTAAGACTGTGATCAGCCAAGTTTAAGATCTCCAACTCATTCTACATGACATTTACGCAGAAGCCATGTCTCTTAGTGAATCTTTCCAAGTTACAGCCTTAATTGAGAAATTGCCACAAGGCTGGAAGGAATTCAAAAACTACCTCAAACACAAGCGCAAAAAAATGTCTTTAGAAGAATTAATTGTGCGTTTGAGTATTGAGGAGGATAATCGTAATTCTGAAAAGCGGGCTGGTAAGCATCCTATGGTGTCTAAGGCAAATGTGGTGGAACATGCTCCAAAAACAAAGAAACGAAAGGTTTCTGGAGAAAGTTCATCACAAAGATATTATAAGGGTTCTTAGATATCTCCGATTTACTCGTAACATTGAGCTTAATTATACTAGATATCCAGCAGTACTTGAAGGATATTGTGATGAAAATTGGATATCGAGTACTAGAGACTCAAAGTCCCCGAGTGGGTATGTCTTTGCTCTTGGTAGGGCGGTTGTATCTTGGAAATCTTCCAAACAAGCTTGCATAGCTAGGTCTACTATGGAATTAGAATTCATAGCTTTAGATAAGGCTGGGGAAGAAGCAGAATGACTTCGCCACGTCCTTGAAGATATTCCAATATGACCAAAATCGATGCCTATTATATGTATACATTGCGATAGTCAATCAGCAATAGGTAGAGCACAGAGTCATATGTATAATGGTAAGTTATGACACATTCGTCGTCGACATAACACTGTAAGACAACTACTCTCTAATGAAATTATTTCCATTGATTATGTGAAGTTTAAAGACAACATAGCGGATCCACTAACTAAAGGGTTAGCAAGAGAGTTAGTTGAGAATTCATCGAGGGGAATGGGACTAAAGCCTATTAAATAAGAGTTACCATAACGGCAACCCAACCTAGTTGACTGGAGATCTCAATATTTAGGTTCAAAGGAACAACCAAGTTGTGAATGACTCAGAAGGATCACTGGAGAGTCCAACTCCTACCTATTTCTAGAATGAAATAGTGGTGTCTGCAACGTTTTAGGTTAAGTAAAATTTTAATGATTCTTATATCTAGGTAAACCTAGTGGAGTATGGTAGGATACTCTTCGTAAGAATCACCTATGTAAGTGTGAACTGGGCTGGTTCTATGAGATTTATGAAGGGTTACAAGTCTTTAGAGCACTCATGAAAGACCAGGTTATTCATGGCCAAAATGAACACAATAATGAGAACTAAACTGTGTCTGGGGATATACTATGTGAGTTCTATTGTCTTGGTTTACACAAATGGCTGAACAGTTTAAGACATCATGTTCACTGGTTAGCTAGTAAATCCAGTAGTGTCTCATAAGGGAAGATTCAAAGCCAAAATCTACCTATCTTTTGCAGAATATTTCCAATTTCTGTACTCTCTATAATTAGATCATGTTGTTCATTTTCTCTCCGTTAAATTCCATTCATGTGGGGGATTGTTGGAAAATTTAGTTTTATAAGGATTATTTTGGGCTAACTTTGAGCCAAAAATTGAGTGGGCCCCAAACATCTTTTAGATTGGATCCGAAGAGGTGACGTGTTCCTTGTCACATGATAAGCCATACGGTGAAGACGGTTCGTCAAAACCATTTATGAGTGAATGAGAAGTTGACGTCGTTTTCGAGTTTGTGGAATGGATAATTAAAGAATTAAATGTGGGTTTCCTTGAAATGGGTTATCCCACATTGAAACTTTAAGAGAGCTTGTGTATATATATAAGCTCTAGATTACAACACTTGGGTTGGGCCCCAAGGGGCACCCCAAGTTTGTAGAAGGGAGGAGTTATGGACAATTGGAACCTTGACTCAAACCACCACACACGCGTGCGTACCGCCACCGCCGTCCGTTCGACCGGCCGGCCGAGCCGAGCGGTGCCGGGCGCGGTTGTGGGTCGGGTCGGCTAATATTAATTTTTTGAAGAAAACTTATTTGAATTTTTTGCAAAAATTGAATTCAAATTTTGTACCGAAATAGAATTTAATTTTTTGTCCAAACTATATCTGGTTTTCAGTCCATTTTCAAGCAGTTCAACAGGTTCAAACTGTCCAACAGATTGGGCAAAATTGCCTAGTAGTTCCGAGCAGTTTTAAAACTGCCAAACAGTTTGCATATCTGTTCAAAACAGTTTCAGATCTGTCCAACACCTGTTCAATTCAATTTTACACCTGTTTGGTTCAAAATTGAACCTGTTCGGGCATGTCTTTTGCCTATAAATACTAGCCCTATTCCAGCAGATTTTACATTTCAAAAATCAGTCTGAAATTTATATTTTTGTTGTCATATTTTCTGTACTATTGCATATATTCTTCGTATTAGTTTTTAAGAATTTTTATAGTGAGTATAGAACACAAGGTTGTAGTTTGTCGGACAAATTTGTTTGGAGTGCTATTACAAATTTGTGAAGATCATTGTATCCTGGGAGATAGACGTCACTTAATCATAAGCACAGTAGCGAGACGAATCGATCTTAAGGACAGAGTGTCACACACTCGACTTGGTCTTTAAATATTCATTCAGTTCGGTAAAAATAAATTCGGTATGTAACTTATTTTATTTGTTTGATTTGTTTCAATTTATTTATTTTTCACAGAAGATTGTTCCAATAACTTATTGAATACCTCATTCTAATAGCCATTTTAACACCGATCTAAAATTAAAAAAATAAATAAATAATTGATTTTAACTCATTTTAAATAGTTTATTTGGACACTTGAATCTCATTTGGCAACTTTTAGTTTTAGTCAAAAAGTTTAAAAAAAAAATACTGTAAATTATCACATTATTTTCTCTACTTTTTTACACATTTTTTCGTAAAAAAATTAAAAAGTTACTAAAATAACATGTACCTAAATGAGGCATTATTATTGTTAGTCACTTATTGTTTTTCATGTTAAGTATGGTACAAAATTAATCATTGATGAATTTCACTATAAAAAAGCATAAAATGACCCAGTATAAAAAATATATGTCATATTATTCTTCCTTCCATCTTGCATTTCCCCCCTTCCCCCTTATTTTGCACCAATAAAACTTCATCATCTTATTAGAGATGTCTTCTATAGTATTTAATTTTTTTCTGTGTATATATAATTTATATTGTATATACATTTATGGTTGTGTATATGGTGAAGAAAAAAAAATTTATTCGTCTTTTGGCCCATTCAGTAATAAAATTCTAATTCCGTCCTTGGGTACAAAAAGTTTAGCCCCTAACAATAAAATCCTGTATCAAATATTTCATTTCATTCCTGTTCATTATTCCTCTCATTTTTTTAAAACTATTTTGCACAGATACAAGATCTATATTGAAGGATTTGCGTGGTCTGTGAGTGAAAAATATATTCTAGCATGTGATTCTATGAGTCTGCTGGTTACACCGCATTACTACGATTTCTTCACAAGAAGCTTATTGCCCTCAATTCACTACTGGCCAATCAACGAGAATAATATGTGCAAATCTATCAAGTCTGCAGTTAATTGGGGAAATAAACACCCACAACAGGTAATTAAATTTCTCTATAATACAAGATTCGCAATTATCAACTGAAAATATTCATTGCAAATTAGTTCATTGGGCTTAACAATTTAAAGCGTTGGGCCTAATAATATTTTATTTTCTGTTCATTGCATTTTTGCTATATGGGTTATAGTTACAACAAAAATTATCTAGTTTTTTGAAACAGCATATGGTTGTATAGCCAATCAACAATATTTTATGATTTTCTTATATATTTTTTCTTTTTTGAACCATGAAAATACATAATTTCGTACAATTAGATGGGCAAATAGCTAATGTGATATTCGTGAAAAACTAAATAAAACGCACGTTATTTACAGGAGGTAACATATCAAGTTATCATGTGTTGAAATCACTAAAAATTTAATATCATTAGTAGATTTTCAATAGTTTAAACATGTAATCGCTTTGTGCCAAATGGCCTTTGGACATGATGGAATCACTCCTACACTCACTCAGTAGAAGTTAGATGTTCAAGTCTCCTCCCTTACTGTTGGGAAAAACTACTCACATTACATAATTTCACATTGCATATTGCAAAATTATGAGATGAACAAAACAAACCTTTAATCACAGGAAAAATAACATGATGAATAAAATACAGATAGAATATAAAATGGTTAAATGAAGCAAATCGAAGCCTGTGTGATACCACAGTCTCCTTAAAATAGATTCGCCGCCTTACCATTGGGTGCTGGAGGTACGCCGGCGTCTACTTCCCAGGATATGACGGTTTTTACCAGCTACAACAGAAGCACCTTCTGATTAGCTTAGCGAACGGACAACGGCAACACACTCTCTCAGGAAGAAAATTATAAGAGAAGTAGACTGACAGTGTATGGATGTCAAGGAAAAATTCTATCTCTCTTTTCAAGGAATAGGGCCTCCTTTTATATACCATGGGGGAGAGGGGAGGAGCCTCTAGCCATCAAGGCTGGCAACTAATGCTAGCAAAACTGCCCAATCAATTTTGTAAAACTGATGAGCCTTAAATGTGTGAGTTATATACACATTTATGAGGCAATTTCTTATTCAACCATTTTTCTCCAACAATCCCCCACATGAATAAAAATTGACCGAATACAGCAAACGCTCAACGTTTATCAACAAAGACTCGGAAAGAGAGAGCGCACATAGACTAACCCTGCATCAGAAAAGGTAGCTGTTGGCCTTGAACCTTTCGTAGTGAATGCCTATCGGATTTACTGGCTGACCAAGTGAACGTGAATGTCTTGAACTGTTCTGCCGTTTATGTAAACCGAGACCAATAGCACCTCACACAGGACAGTTAGTCCAACCATTGTTCTTGTTCTCACTAGTGTGTCCGTATGGCCCTGGAATACTAGCCTGGGTTCTATGAGTGGTTTTTTAAAGATTGGCCTTGGCATATCTTAAAGAAGCGGCCCCACTTGCGCCACTCCATTAGGTGACCTAGATACGGTATTTCATTAATACCATCACTAAAGGTCATAAAAGCATTAGCTTTAACCTCCAACCCCGACAGGGCATCACTGTATACGAAGGAAATGGAACAAGGATTTACCTTTAGTGACTCACCCGTTAACACGAAGTTAGGTTGTCCCTTTGAACCTAGACGTTGGGATCTCCAAGTCAATTAGGTTGGGTTTCGTTCCGATAAACCTTTACTTAAAGGCCTTAACCCCATTCCTCTTGATGATTTTCTAACTAACTACTCGAGTTAACTCTTGGTTAGTGGTAATTTTTTCCCGCAATGTTGTCCTTAAGACTTGACATAGTCTAGAAGAGACAACTCCATTTGAGAGTAGTGTCGTGGAAATTATGTCTCCGACGGATATCGTCTAGAACCTTTCCATTATACATATTACTACTGATGCCCGACCAATCGCTTGATTGGCTATCGTAATGAATACTGATAGGCTGCACAGGTTTCGCCAATCGTGGAATATCCTCAACAAACTGGCGAACGCCAATTCAGCTTCTTCAGTTGCCTTTATCTAAAGCAATAAATTCAGATTCCATCGCTTGGATCTCCGAGATACACGTTTGCTGGTAGTCTTTCCAAGACACGGGCTGCCCCTGCCGAGGGTAAAACACAAACCACTAGTGGATTTGGAATCTTTTAATATCAAGATACCAATTTTTGGCGTCACTATACCCTTCAATTACCGCTGGGATTCTGGTATACATGAGCCATAATCTGGGTGTAAACGGTATACCCTAAACACCCGCAAATGCCCTTCCAATGAGTAGCATTAGGATTACTCGTGTAATCTACTCAGCTACTACACAGCGTAGGCGATATCCAGCCTTTGTACAACTCATAAATAACATCAAAACTGCCCAATAACCTGAGAATATATCTAGTTGAGAGACACTCTCACCATTATTCTTGGGTCAAATATAGACTTAAGTTACGCGGGGTCCTACAACAATACTCTAGTATCTGCTCTCTAATTTCTCAAGTATGCTATTAACATAATATGAGCTTTGAGAAAGTACAATACCACCAGATTGTCTGGGTGATCTTAAACACCTAGAAATGAACATCTGCAAAGGCCCATATCCTTCATGTCCAAAACTTAAGAAGTCTAACAATCCTTGATAGCTTTAATCATTTTATCATTGCTACCAACAATGAGTATGTCATCAACGTATAGACACAAAATGACATAATCTTTGTCAGTGTCTTTAACATATACGCACTTATCATACTCATTGATTCGAAACCCATTTGACAACATAACATAATTAAACTTCTCATGCCATTGTTTGGGAGCTTGCTTCAAACCATACAATGACTTGACAAGCTTACAGACTTTCTTACTTTTTCCTGGAGCTGAAAACCCCTCGGGTTGCTCCATGTAGATTTCTTCATCTAAATCTCCATTTAAGAAAGTTGTCTTTACATCTATCTGATGTATTTCTAAACCACGTAAAGCTGCTATTGCAATCACCATACGAATGGATGTAATCTTTATCACAGGGGAATACGTATTAAAGTAATCCAGGCCTTCTCGCTGTCTGTATCCTTTGATAACTAGTCGAGCTTTATATTTGTCAATTGACCCATCCGCTTTCATCTTTATTCGAAAGATCCACTTACTTTCCAAGGCCTTACTGCCTGGGGGTAGATCAACCAACTCCCAAGTATGGTTCTGTAAGATGGAGTCAATCTCACTTTTGATCACTTCTTTCCATAAAGGACTCTCAGGAGAAGTCACAGCTTCGTGGAAAGTTCGAGGTTCTCCCTCTAACATATAAGTCAAGAAGTCTGGACCAAAAGACTTTGTGGTTCTAGCCCTTTTACTCCTTCTTGGCTCATCTACTTCATCAGCTTGATCATCTACTTGATCAGTTATTTGATCAGCTGTTTGATCATCTATGTGATCGTCGTCATGATCATTTATTTCTTTCATAGAACTCGAAACCCTGTCTTGGGGACGACACGGAAATACATCTTCAAAGAAAGATGCACTTCTAGATTCCATGGTAGTATTCTTGTGTATATCTGAAATATCAGACTTGTGCACAAGAAATCTATATGCACTACTATTTTGTGCATAACCAATGAAAATACAGTCCACGATTTTCGGACCTATCCTAACCCGCTTGGGTGTAGGTACCGCCACTTTTGCATGACACCCCCACATTCGTAGGTATTTATATGAAGGCTTGTGACCTTTCCACAACTCATATGGAGTCTTGTCCACTTTCTTCTGTGGTATTCTATTAAGAATATAATTCGCGGAGAGAACTGCTTCCCCCCATAAGTTCTGTCGCAACCCAGAACTTATCCACATTGCATTCATCATCTCTTTCAGCGTCCTGTTCTTCGGCTCAGCAACACCATTTGACTGAGGCGAATGAGGCGCTGTGGTTTGGTGAATAATCCCAAATTGAGCACAAGTTTCGGCAAACGGGGATTCATACTTACCACCACGATTACTTCTCAATGCCTTGATTTTCCAGCTTAATTGATTCTCAACTTCATTCTTAAAAAGAATAAATTTATCAATAGCCTCGTCTTTGCTTTTAAGCAAATACACATAACAGTATTTAGTGCAATCATCAACAAAAGTAATGAAGTACTTGTTGCCACCACGTGATTCTACAACTTTCAAGTCACACACATCACTATGCACTAAACCCAAAGGCTGGATACTTCTTTCAATAGAATGAAAAGAAGACCTTGTCAATTTTGCTTCTACACAAGTTTCACACTTGTGTTGTGGATTAATCTTGAAAGATGGTATGTGATCTAACTTGATTAATCTACGTAAAGAGTCAAAATTTACATGACCCAATCTACTATGCCATAAATTAGGGGACTCAAGCATATAAGCAGAAGAAGAAGCTTTCTCATTAATCTTAGGGATAAGTGTCATTACATTCAATTTAAACATATCACCTGACATATATCCCTTCCCCACATAGACCTCGCCCTTGGTCAACACGACCTTGTCTGATTCAAACACCATGCGGAAGCCATGCTTGCTTAGGAGAGACCCCGAGACAAGGTTATTACAAATGTCCGGCACAAAAAGGACATCGTTCAAAGTCAGTTCTTTTCCTGAAGTCATCTTCAGGATCGCCTTGCCTTTACCCTCAACAGCTGAGGTTGCAGAGTTTCCCATAAACAACTTCTCTCCGTTTGAAACCGGTTCGAAAGTTGTGAACATTCTCTTCTCTGCACAAATATGGCGAGTGGCCCCAGTGTCCACCCACCACTCCCTCGGGTTTGACCCCACCACGTTCACTTCTGACACAAAGGCTGACAGATGCATGTCATCCACATCGTGTGACAATTCCTCCATTTCAGCCATATGTGCCCGGTTTTTGTGTTGGGGAGGGTTTTTCCTGTAGGGCTTCTTCTTCAGACAATCAACTGCCCGATGCCCGTCACTTTCACAATTGAAGCATTTGCCATCGAACCTAAAAGTAGGCTCATTTGGCTTATAGGCTGGCCTTTTGGAGATTCCTCCTCTAGCCCCCAACTTTGAGCTTTTGCCTGTCGGTGGTTTTTTCCTCGCCCTCGAGTACTCGCCATGCTCAACCATGTTGGCTTTGACAGTGGAGGTACTCCATCCTTTCTTGCTGTTGTCCTCTTCAATCTGGAGCCTGACAACGAGCTCTTCGACTATCATCTCCTTTTGTTTGTGCTTCAAGTAGTTTTTGAAGTCTTTCCAGCTGTTAGGCAGCTTCTCAATCAAAGCAGCTACCTGGAATGACTCACTTAGGACCATCCCTTCTGCATGTATCTCGTCTAGAATCACTTGGAACTCTTGGACTTGACTCAGGACAGTTTTAGAGTCCACCATCTTGAAGTCCAGGAACCGGTCGACGATAAATTTCTTTACCCCAGCATCCTCGGTCTTGTACTTTTTGTCCAAGGCATCTCACAACTCCTTAGCCGATTTCTTGGCATAGAACACGTTGAAAAGCGGATCCGCCACCGTTCAGAATGTAATTCCGGCATAAGAAGTCTGCTTGTTTCCAAGCGTCTAGAGCCATGAGCTTTTGTTTATCTTGTTCATTCTCCTCTACGGCTGGTACATCTTCACTCAGAAACCTCGCAAGGCTTAGAGTAGTCAAATAAAACAGCATCTTCTGCTGCCATCTCTTAAAATTCACTCCCGTAAACTTCTTCGGGCGCTCGTGATGATTGAGCGGTCCTCCCAGAACAGCCGGAGTAACAATAGAAGGATTGACCACAGAGGTCACAGCAGGGGTTGGCAAGCCAGTCGCCCCGGGGTTTGGATCCCCACCAACATTAGCAGGAGCAGTAGCAGCATCAGAGACAGTTGCCATTTCTGAAAAATTACAGCAGAATTTTCACTATTTTGTATTTCCAGAAATCAAACTTAACACTAGAAAATCCCACAATTGGAAATTTAATTCAAAACTAGTCTCACCACGCAACCTAGAATCGAACATGGTCAGGAAAGTTTTCAGGAAGACTGGAGGGGTCACACCGATCCCACTTAAATCCCAGTTAACCTTAGACAAAACTTTCAAGAGCATGTTGACTCCTAGTCCATGGGAAACAACTTTAAGAATTAAATTTTCCAAGGGGTGAACTAGGTTAAACACACCAAGTTCCAAACTGTACAAGCAATTACAACAAAATTGCTACAATAATTACAATCAAATAAAACGTGCTTTACATATTGGTGAATAACCACAAATCAACACTCAAGCAAACAATTGCTTCAAATATTTAGTCCAAATTAATCATTTTTTCCATTTCCATAGGTATTCCTGCAATAAAGAGTTAGCAGCAAAATACACCAAAACCTCACTCAGCTTTTCTTTGCTTTTGGCAAAGTAGTGATTGAAGGAGAGGGTACTAGCAAACAAACTAATAAATAACTGTAAGTAAAGATTAAAACCAACCCTTAAGTTACACATCTAGAATTTAAACTAAAAAAAAAAAAAACTGTAAAAAATTAATTACATAAGAAACATGTAATTAACTATATAAGTTACAGACCTAAATTAAATATAATTAAACCATATTTTAAATTGGTAAAGGTTACATATGAACTTATGGTACACTAAACATGTAATTATTGCGGCAAGTTACAACATCTTTATAATCTCCTAAATACTTAAAATCAACGATACTAGGCAAGAATTTGCAAATGGCATGATTTAACAATGCAAATAATTTCTAGAAAAATTAATATGGAATTTAAATATGGCAAGTTTATAAACTTTACAAACTCCACACCTAAATAAAGATTAATAGTACAAGGTAAACATGAAAATTTACTACCTAATAAACATGTTTTAGAAATTGTAAATTTACACTAAAAATAAAACCCAAAAAATGAACATGCAATTATATTGTAAAATATAGAAAGGCCAGGAATTGAAGCATGTAAATCTAGAAATATAAGGCATGAACCGGTATACCATAAATTAATAAATTAATTAGAAAATACAGTGAATTAACGTTGCACCAATGGAACTCTTCTTCCCTATTGATAACAGTGGCCTATTCCATGCCATGGGAAGACCAAACAGTAGCATACACAAAATGGCAAAATCAAAAGCTTAACCCTGTGTACATGCATCTAATAAACCAATTAACTCGCTAGTACTACCAGTGGCCAATTACATGCAAAATTATTACACACACCAATGAATCTATTAATCTAATTCTATGATAAACGTCGAATCTATTTTAAGCTTGTTAGGAAAAACTACTCACATTATATAATTTCACATTGCATATCGCAAAATTATGAGATGAACAAAACAAACCTTCAATCTCAAGAAAAATAACATGCTGAATAAAATACAGATAAAATATAAAATGGTTTAAGGAAGCAAACCGAAGCCTTTGTGATACCACAGTCTCCTTAAAATAGATTCGCTGCCTCACCGTTGGGTGCTGGAGGTACGCCGGCGTCTACTTCCCAGGATACGACGATTTTTACCAGCTACAACAGAAGCACCTTCTGATTAGCTTAGCGAACGGACAACGGCAACACTCTCTCTCAGGAAGAAAATTATAGGAGAAGTAGACTGACAGTGTATGGATGTCAAGGAAAAATTCTATATCTCTTTTCAAGAAATAGGGCCTCCTTTTATACACCATGGGGGAGAGGGAAGAAGCCTCTAGCCACCAAGGCTGACAACTAATGCTAGCAAAACTGCCCAATCAATTTTGTAAAACTGATGAGTCTTAAATGTGTGAGTTATATACACATTTATGATGCAATTTCTTATTCAACCATTTTTCTCCAACACTTACTTTGTAATATCATGATCTTATTATAATGTGATGGGATCGATTAATGTCTAAATTATAATGTGTGGCTATTTTCCTGTTGATCGAGTACATAAATGCGTAAAATAAATTCACTTGAATGTGGCCTACACTACACTCAAATTTTGAACAAATTTTTGCATATTTTTTCTAAGTTCATAGGATTTCTACTTTCCTATTGTCGAAAAAAAAAGTATTGTAATGTCTATACAAGTATATGAATGTGATGGAATTTTTATATGAAGAAAATTTGTCTACTTAGTTACTTTTTTTTTTTAACCAACTCCATTATGATTCACAGGTTCAGGAGATTGGAAAGGCTGGGAGCAAGTTCATTCAAGAGGAGTTAAAAATGAAGAATGTATATGACTACATGTTTCATTTGCTATATGGATATGGAAAACTTTTGAAATACAAACCAACTGTACCAGAAGGATCAGTTGAAGTGTGCTTAGAGACAATGGCATGTTCTGGCCCAGAGTTGGAGAAGACATTTAAGATGAGTTCCAGGGTGAGCGGCCCAGCGGATACGAGCCCATGTACCATGCCTCCACCTTATGATCCTACAACTCTTCAATCTTTTCTTGAGAGGAAATCAAATCTAGCAAAGCAAGTGGAGAGATGGGAGGCCAGTGAAAATAGATAATTGGAAGAGACAAATTTAGAAAACTTGAAGACCATTTTCTTCTGCCATCATTTTCTAAGTGGTTAATACGGCGAAACTAAATGGTTTGAATGAAGAGAAAATAAATAAATAAGAATGATAAAAAAAATTTATTCATTAATTCTAGAAGTTTTTTTGTGAATCAATTAATTATTTTTATTTTGGAAAGTTATATTAATTTAATTCGGTGTCATTTGAGTTTAAAAGTGAATACATTTTTATGATTCATTTTTCTAATTTCTAATTCATTTTTGAGCGGAAATAGAAGGTGAGGTGTGAAAGATTCTTTTTGGAAAATTGGTAGCTGAAGTGTTGATAGTCGAGCGTGTAAATCTACATTTCTGTTAATATAGTTTTCTGGTGTTATATTGAAGTGTTACATTAAAGTGTTATGTTTAGAGAAAAATACACTAAGGAGTTTTTGTGTATTACACTGATTGGAGTGTTACGTTTGGACAAAAATACACTAAAGAGTTTTTGTGGAATGTTACGTTGTTACGTTTGAGAAAAGTATACTAAAAAATTCTTGAGTGTGTTATATTGGAGTGTTAAGTTTGGGAAAAGTATACTAAGGAATTTTTGTGTGTTACATTGATTAAAATGTTACATTTAGGAAAAGTACACTAAATAATTTTTCATTTGCTCAAATTGGAGTGTTACGTTTGAAAAAAATAGAGTAAGGAGTTTTTTTTTTTTTTGAAATATTACGTTTAATAATTTTAATATTATGAAAAAATTCACATTTTAGCCCTTTATGTAATTCACACTAGAAAGAGACTTTTGAGTCCATAAAATAAAAAAATAAAAAATAAATAAAAATAAAAAATTTATAAGATCACTATTTGAGATTTATTAATGTTTCACTTGTTAATAATGCCTAATTTAATTTCCTAAGAGAAAGGATGTTAGGTTCCATATTTCATTAATTAACAAATGTAAATATTTTAATTATTAGTTTCATTAGTTTCCTAATTTAGTTTCCCGATTTCCATCTTTCAAATGTAAATGCCATTCATCCCACAATGTTCCAACTCTCAATTAAAAATTAATTATTTTAATGCAGGGTGTTGTGTGGAAATATTTTAGGATAGGAGAAAAGCCTTATAAATGGGGACAACAGACACCCCCAACGAACTATTAAAAAAAAAAAATCTATCATAAATTATTGTAAATGGCAGAGTTGATAATTTGTATTGGAGTAATAACAAATCAGTGGTTAGTTAAAAAAATAAATATCAATTCCATGAAAAAATTTAGGAGTTTGGGCTTTTAATGTAGCAAATTTTATTATTAATATGTAAATAATTTTTTTCAACTCTCAATGAATGGCATTTTCACTTTTTACTTTTTATTTTACTTATGACTTACGAAATGTACATTATTTCGTTTTTTGAAAGTTTCACACTCGCCTGTGTTCAACTAAATTTTTACATGGTCCTGGCGGACGCAAAAAATTTGTTAAGAGGGGACCAAATGTATAACATATAAGATAAAAAAAAAAACTATAAATTTCATTTACACTTTATAGAAAATATAAGATAAAAAAATTAATAACATATAACTACATTTCATATTAATTATAATCACACTAATTAAAGTCATAATTGAAGGTCATTTTGGTCTTAACAAAAATCACGACGACGGGTCATATTGAATATTACTTTGAACAAAAATGCTAGAGGCCCCAAAAATGCTAGAATATTTGGGATCTTTAGCATTACTTTACTTTGAAACATAATCAAAATATTAGAATGAGGTGTAATTAATTTTGATTTTATAATTTGTTAGTTCCATCACCATAATGGCCTATAAATAAACACCACAATAATTCATAATTAACATTAATGTAAACAAAAAATTAGATATATATATATATATTGTGTATTATATATGGCATGACCGTAACTCAATGTTTCAAACAAATTGACAAAATTGAGTCTTGGGTGGAGGGGTCAAGTCTTTACAACTTATAAATCTAATAACAAATCTACATACACAAGTTGAGCTTATACAGATGGATGCAACGGTGATGCCCTCCCCGCGCTCCATCCCCAGTCACTCCCTACGTTTGACATTCTAGAATATTAATAAAAAAAATAAGGGCAAATTACATATACACCCCTCCAGGTTTGACAAAATTACAGATACCCCCCTGAGGTTTGAGAAATTACGAATTCCCCCCTGAATGCTATATTTGCATAAGAAATTAGGGGGTAATTTGTTATGAAATATAAACCTCAGGGGGTAAATTGTTATGAAAATACAAACCTCAGGGGGCGGGATGTAATTTCCGAAACCTCAGGGGGGTATCTGTAATTTAACCAAACCTGGAGGGGTGTATATGTAATTTGCCCAAAAAATAATAGTGGACAAATCACAAAAGACCATTAGACAAACAAATAGTCACGTTCCTGTGTGATAATTTATACTTTCTTGTTACTTGTTTTTCCAGTCCCCTAATACAAACATTTCATTGCAAAAGACATTTCTACCCTCTATAACTTCCACCACATCTCTGATTGGAATCAACTGTTCCATCACATGCCTGGAATATTCTCTGCCTATAGTCAAAGATGACGAATCATAATCATCCAAGGCGTGCCCAAAGTACTTCGGTGGATCCAACAAGACTTAAATCCATGGAAGGAAAAAGGAATCACCAAACAAATTGTGGAAAGCACTGAAAGCAACGCACATATGAGAATAGTGGTAGTGAATGTAAGAATTTATGTGAAGAAGTTGAGGTGGGTGTACCAAACAAGAGATGTGTACACTGTGTGGGGCATATTGCCGCTGTTAAGATTGTATCCTGGTAAGTTAGCAGACTTGGATTTCATGTTTGAGTGTGGTGACAAACTAGTGATTCTAAAAAGTAAAGTATAGTGATCTGGGCTTAGACCCGATCCATTTATTTCTTTTGAATCCAGGAAACCATATATCTGGCGTTTGTTCTTTTCTTCTTATGTTTGGTTATGGCTTCAGGGGTCGACACCATCATTGTTGGTGTTTACATTGCCTTCGTTTCCTTGTCTTGTTCTGCTCCTAGGGTCAACACCAATTTTGGAGGTATCGACACCATCTTGTTGGTGTGTTATAGATCACTATTGAAATTTAGGGTCGATACCGACCTGGACCTTTGGTGGTGTCAACACTTGCCTTTTCTTGTTACCTTAAAGGTTGACACCAGTCTGGGAAGGGTCGACCCTTATCTACTGCAGAATTTGGGTCTAGTTGCTAAAATTTAGTGTCAACACCTTGGGTCCAAGGGTCGACACCCTCTCTGCTGCCAACATTGTCCTTTTTGTCAATTCTTCCTGAAGGGTTGATACTACCAGCACAAAGGTCGATCCTCATGAGTTTGTTTTTTTTTTTTTTTTTTTTTTTTTTTTTTTTTTTTTTTTTTTTTTCAGACTTTAGTTTGGTTTTAGGCCCTACTTCTTGGAGATTTTGACTTGTTCTTTTGAGTTGACTTTAGGACTTTATCTCACTTTAACCTAGCACTATAAAGAGGGCCCTCACTTACCCTTTTCTTCACTTTATCTTCTCTTTCCTCTTTCTAACCTGTGAGTTCCTCTTCTCTCTCACTAAACTCACTTTTTCGCTCAAAGATCTTCAGGTCTACTCACTTAAGAGCATCTCCTCACCTTGCTCCTTTGAGATTAAGTGTAGAGCTTGTCAAGAGCTTCATTTTGATCGGAGCAAATTGTCGTTTCGCCATCGTCAACTTTTAGATTTTTCTTCCTTCTTCCTCTTCTAAGTTTGAGGTAGGGATTCTCTACATTCTTTTATGATTTTTAACCTAGCTATTTGCCTTTATAAAACAAATCTCTTGATTTTGGAGGATTTTGGACAAACCTAGGATTTTGGTTTAAAATCAAAAGAGGGGTTTTTAAATGGATGTATTGACAATGGTTGGGGAGTGGAAATAAGGTTAAGTTGTGATAAAATTTTTGATTTAGATACTTAAAATATGTTTTGGAGGAAATGAAATGATGAAATTAACCTAGTTGTTTCAAATATTTATTCTGTATAAATAAATGAAATGGATGATGAAACCATGAAATTGGATTGATATTGATGAGGAGGGTGGAGTTGGATATGTATTATCACTCACCTCTTGAGATTTGGGAAAGTTTATCTTTATGGAATATAAATTATCTGTTTAGAAATATCTGCTTTGGGCTATCGGTGAAAGATAAGTAGGATTGCTGTAGAAATTGCCTTTGATTTAGGAGAATTGAAACTATTTTCTCATTTATTTGCATTTAGCATTGTTTCACACTTATACATTGAAAATGTTTATCGTTATGAGAAAAAGGGTGAATTTGGAAGACATGAACTGTAATGTTGAACTAAATTGACCCGAGTGTCCAGGGTGAAAGTTCCGAAAACTGCACGTATACACAGGTGTCGATCTCGCAGATGAAATTTTCGTGAAATGGCAAATAGTAGTGCTTTTATAGCCTACGTTTACATAGGTCCCGGCTTACGGTTTCCTTCGGATGAAATTTCTAGAAAAGGTTGTATTGTTTTGAAATTCCTAGAGTGTGATTCACTACCCTATTTTCTATTGCAAAGGAAAGGATTTATGAATTATGAAATTAATGTGGCATGGCATGGTTTGGGAAAGAGACATAAAATGTTTTGGCACGGGTATTGCATATGCATTCGTCTTATAGCTTTGTTAAGATTCATATATTGTGTTGGATTATTTCTACTGGGCTTTGGCTCACCCTATGTGGGAAAAACACTTCAGGTGTTGATGATATGCCTTCGCCAAGGCAGTAGCTTGGGAGGATTTGGAGCAAGAGCTTCTCTTTTGTTGTATTCATTTTGTATAGCCTAGGGCTTAAAATGTATTGGATTTAAAGTCCACTTTTGTTGTAACCAAGAACTATCTTGAAAAGTTATAAGCCTTTAGGGCATTTATTATTTATTTTATTTTCAGTTCTTATCTCATGTTGTGATATATGCTATAGATTCATAGATAGGCTTATGAATGTATAATTGCATATGTCACACTTTTGTAAACTGAAATTGGATTTAATGGGAGATAATTACTTTATTGTTATTGACATTATGGATTGATTATTGTAATTATTTTGGGGCATTACAAAAAGCCAAGAAAGTGCCTCTAATCCTTAATTACTGTGGAAGTAATTCAACTTTGGACATTGTTTTTCCTGATTGGTCCTTTTGGGGTTGGTAAAGCCTTTTTCCTTATTTGGTTAAGTAATAATAATATTGTTGCACATAACAAATGCAATGCATAGATGTTGGATACACTATCTCTTCGGTTTAGTCCATTGATTGCGGGAGACCTATGTATCTTATTGATATTATAGGATCGACAAGCCTTAAACACAATGCACAAATATTAGATCGGCTATCTCTTCTGTCTAGTGCATCGATCATGAGAGACCTATGGGCCGCACAATAGACCTCACATATTGTAGGACCCACAAATATTCATCAATTTTTATTTATTTTATTTATTTATTATTTTTTTATATATATATTTTTTTTAATGGCGAGTTGGATAAGTATCCATAACATTTATTATATAGATTCTCAAAAGAGGTTAAAAAAATGTTGAAATCTATATAACAACATTAGGTAGTATTATTGTTTGGAAAATACTATTCATTCTATTTTTTATTTTTTCAAAACACATTTATTATAATAGCACGGTAGTGATCATTTTATAAATAAAACATATCATTATTTATATATATGTATTCAATTATTTTTTTTGGTCAGCAAAAAAATATACTAATATGCATTTAAATGTTTATATAGAGTGATTCAGTAATTGTGTTTGGCAGGTCAGAGTTGAAGATAAAGCCATGGGAAACCTTTGAGAAGGATCTAGAAGAAGGCAACCAGAGACTGAAGTGGATTGATAGGATACCCTATGCTTATTGGAAAGGGAACTCAAGAGTTAGTTTAGTGAGAAAAGGGCTTCACAAATGCAATCTCACTCACAAATAGGATTGGGGTGCACTCATTTATGAGCTGGTGACAATTTCTTCCCTTTCTTGTTAAAATAATGTAGACATCCCATTTAGATCGGCCCTAAGACTTGGGCGCTTTCTTTTGATTACCTAATGATGAAATTAAGAAGGTGTTTCTCACAGAATCCTCAATAAGAAAACTTAGAATTTGAACCCTGTTTTCAACCCTAACTAGCCACAAATTACCTTTCCAACAGAATATTCTGACCTCATGGTTGCGTCCAAAATGGTTCGTTTAGCTAGGATCAACCTTCATTGCACTTCCGGGGGCCTCACTGAAAAATTCTCCCGAAATCTGGGTTAAAGCACAAATATTTGAAACTTTTGGGCCAAATTGTAATTTTCAAAACTCAAGGAATATTCTGTAAAGTCAAGGAATATCCCATCTATATGCAGAATATTCCATCAAATGTTGACAGTGATGCTGACGTAGCGGTATTGCTGACGTGGCATGACTGAATTGGTTCTTGCTGATGATATGGCTCTGACATGTCTTTACCAAAAAAAATGAATTTAAGGAATTCTTGGAAGGGAGTTTGAACAACCAACCTACTACTCAGCACCCAGCACCTTAACCACTCTACCAAAGCTTTGCTTTGTGTTATATTTCCCCTTAAATAATATTTAACCATTTCAAATCAGCAAGCAAAGAAGGTATATTTTTGTATTTTTTTTTTCTTGTGTATAGGACACTCCCCTACTGTCACGACCCGAACCCGCCCCTATGGGTTAAGGTCATAACCGGCCAGTAATCACGAGATTACCTACAGCCTCAAACCAAATAAAACGAAACTCATCAGAGTAAAGGGGCCAAACGGAAGCAAACACTACAGGGAAAAAGGGTTGTGGTGGCGTTTTTTTAACGACGTTTTTTTAAACATCACTGTTATTAACATTTAACGGCGTTTTATAAACGCCGCATATTCTTTTAACCAAAACGGCACCGTTTTATAATAAGAGGCGTTGAAAAACGCCTCCGAATGCGGTATACCACACGCGCCTTTTCATTCCTTATTTTGTATCTGGTCCTCTCTCAACCCATACGCATACATCATTTTGAATCTGAGCCCTCTCTCTCTCTCTCTTTCTCTCAACCCTCTCATTAAAGCAATTTCGATGGAAGCAATTTCTCCAGATCGAACCGATTTCGTCTGTCTCGTCTGTTGCGGTATACACTTGTTTCTCCATCGAAGCAATTTCGATGCTCCATCGAAGCTCTAGATCGAACCGATTTTGAAGCTCCGTTGAAGATTCAGTGATTTCCAGTGAAGATTCAGATATTCGAAGCTCCATCGAAGCTCAGATCGACCCGATTTCGAAGCTCCGTTGAAGATTCAGTGATTTCCAGTGAAGATTCAGATATTCGAAGCTCCATCGAAGCTCCAGATCTGAACTCTGACCCCTCGATTACTCGCATTTCAAGCTTAAATCGGTAATTTTTTCTTCTGTACTTTGGGCAATATTCATGTTCTTGAATGCATTTCTATGTGTGTGTTTATGTCTATCAATGTGTCTGTCTATCCCTGTGGATTCATGAAGAGAATACTAGTATATTTAGCCTTGTCCATGTAGTACATCTATATAATTATTTGGGCAATATTATTCTTTTGCTCGTGCATTTTCTGCTCACTTGGCAAGGTATCTACAAACTGATAGACAATTGCATTATTTGATCATTTAAAAGGATGTCATAGATCATAGTTGTAGAACAAAAGCCATGAAAGTATAAGAAACTTGAAAAGCTTTTGGCAGTTGTTACCGTGTGACATTCTTTCTGGAAAAGTAGTTTTTGAACTACTCCACAAATGAGTTCCAGTTATTAAAATTTTCAATTTCAAGCTCCTATTTTGTGAAACAGGTTGATGGAGGATCCTGCTGCATATGGAAAGTTGGGGCTGGCCAACCTTTTGGAACTAAGGGAAGACTGCTTGAGGGAGTTCTATTTTGCTGATGCCTATAGGAGCATAAAACAAAGGTATCCATCCATATTTGGAGAGTTAATTTTTATTTGAATATGGTTTCTTCCTGTTTGTGATGTCATTCTTAACCACATACAATTTGTTTCTGGCCACAAAATGACGTGCCTCTTATATTTTCGTTGGTAATTTAACCTGTATTTTCCTCTTCTTGGCATGTGATAGGGAAAATGAGGCATCACTTGCTGTTCTGCCTGACCTGCTAATGGAGATTGATAGCATGAATGAGGTATGTGTAAATTTTAAACTTGTTCTTTCCTTCCCCCTCCTCACCTCCCCCCTGAATTGGAAGAAGAAAAGCGAAAGCTGCATTATTATGGAAACTAATGCATACTGTGATCTTTCTTTAATCTAATCAAATTCTTATATCACTACGCATCTCTGTGTAACTACTGGAACTGTTAAGTGTGAAGATTTGAATCTTGCAAAAGTTTTGTTGAGATTGGAGTGGACCCATCACTGAAATAAATGGAAATATGTTGCATTGTTTTTCACCCCTTACCATTATTCTACTGATTGTCTGAAGCATTCCTTCATTGCAGGAAACAAGACTGCTTACCCTAATTGAAGGTGTTCTTGCTGCAAACATTTTTGATTGGGGATCCCGTGCCTGTGTTGATCTCTATCATAAAGGAACAATTATTGAAATATATAGAATGAGTCGCAAAAAGATGCAAAGACCATGGCGAGTAGGTGAACTGAAAATAAAATTCTTTTGGGAAAAATTATTGGAAAAATAGAATATCTTTCCTTCAAAGTAATTGTTGGATAATCATTAGAAGGTTTTTGTTTGTGTATTTTAGGTGGATGATTTTGATCTTTTTAAGGAGAGAATGTTAGGGTCTGGAGACAAGAAACCTCCACCACATAAAAGAGCACTACTCTTTGTGGACAACTCAGGTGTTGATGTGATCCTGGGAATGCTTCCACTAGCACGGGAACTCCTCCGATGGGGAACTGAAGTAAGTGTTTTCACAGTAGTATTAATGAAATGGTTCTGAATATTTTTAATTGAAGTTTATATTAATAGTAACCCCAATCTAGGAATGCTTCTCTCCACTTTGTGAAGTCTGATTTAATAAAGGTTTATTGGTAATGCGAGAATGGGGTCATGAAGATGTGATTCACCAATCTCTCCCCTGCCCCCCACCCCCTTCAGGAGGAGATAGAGAAGGAGGATATGGAGACATATAGATGCATTATGATTGATGAAAGTTGATACGATTGTTACTTACCCAAAAAAAAGTTGATACGATTGTTTTGCAATGGATTGCATATCTAGCTGTTCAAATGATCGATGTTACCGCATTACTGTTGTCAAAATCATATGATACGCAATTAGGATCTTAGGATTGCATTACACTATTGTACAACATATTTGACATTTTTTACTTTATCGTATGAAATGACTAGTAAATGTATGATAAATGGCTATTATGTGATATACATCGTATTGGATTTTCAGGTTGTGCCTAGTTGATTAGGGTGTGAGCCTGAAACAAAGAAGCTTCTTAGGACTAAACTTTATAGCTACCATGGATGTTACTTTGTACTTTGTAGGCTTAACATTTTCTTTAACAGTGTTATCTCCGTGCTTGCCATGAGTAACAAGGATATTTTTACAGGTTGTTCTGGTTGCAAACTCATTCCCTGTACTAAATGATGTTACTGCTATGGAGCTTCTTGATATTGTGGCTGAGGCTGCCAAGGTTTGTTTAACTAGTTTCAACTTGTGGCACTTTTGAGATTCTAGCTTTGCATTTGTCTTGAATTGCCTGTGTTAAATTGCTATATAGAAATTCAGTTTTATGATTATTATTGTGGTAGACTTGAATAGGTGCCTTTTTCTTGTCATATATGAGGTCAGGTTTGGTTGGTAAGCCAATACAGCTTCCTAACCAAACTTGACCAAGGTTTAATTGAGGGAGTTGCTAGCTATCCAAATTGGGGCAAACTTCTCATCTGTTTGCATAGCTCAAGCTTTTATATTTTCAGGGTATACAGACTACTAGATTTGTAGGAATTCAGTGTAAGATATTAACAGGGGCTATTTGGCTAGGTTCTAGGTTCTAGTGTGATTGTGTTCAAACCTGAAGGCAGACACTATGTGCATCTGATGTTTATGTATATTTACATTGTGGTTTCTTTCAAACAAACTTTTTACGTGCTTAACATGCTTATATTCTTTTCTTCAGAGTATCTCCACAGAACAGAAAAAAAGATTTACAAAATTTAGGGAGAGGAAAGGCCTTATTGATGAAGATGTGGTATGCTGGAAAATGCCTCATTTTTTTCCTTTTGAATTAATTTTCTTTAGATGAATTGAAAAAATTGTTTACATTCAAACTTTTAATTGTACTGAGTCTTCTATAATTTTCTACTATGGAATGCTATTTGATCTTTTTTCTTCTTTGAAAGGTACTGAGTCTTCTATAATTTGCCTACAGATTGTGGGACAGTTGAAATCCTTGCAGCTTGTTGCAAGCCTAACAGCAGAACGAGATGGTGAAATTCGGAAGGCTGCTTTAAATACTCTAGCTACATGTTATAAGACCTTTGGTGAGTTCTGCTCTTATCAAGCTGTAGACTTTATTTGGTGTTTGGTTTCTTGGAATACACAAGGGCTTGAAGTTTTAAATCCTGCTTAATTTTTGATTGATTGCTTCTAGGTCTTGTGTTTGTTTTAATCTTTTTTCCTTTAATTTTAACTTTGGGAAGAAATGCCAATGCTTACAGAAAAAAAAAGGTCAGTAATTTGATCTCATGAGAAGTAGAATTTGGAGAAAACAAAAGGAACCCACCTCCTCACAAAAGGGAAGTAGAATTTGGAGAAAACAAAGAAAAATTGAACATTTAGAGCTTCAAATTTATTTTAGTGCTTTTAGATGGCTACGTGATTTTGTTAGACTGATATTGGACATGTTTCAATTGATGCCGAAACTTGTATCATAGCTAGATAGAGGCACTTTAAATTTTACATATATATGTGTGTGTGTGTGTGTTTATGTATTTCATAGGTAACAGAGACTTGATAAGGCTAATTCTTCTATGTTGTTGCACTTCAGAAATGCATAATATACACAAAAATAAACTCTATTAATGTCTTCCCATTGTTAATTTCAGGCTCTGAAAGATCTGTATACACACCTGATTCCCATACAGAGAGTAAAGGATCTGTATACACACCTGATTATCTACTACCTGATGATGATAAGTTTTTTATTTTAATTTTTTGTATTTCTTCCCCAAAATGAAACATCAGGTTTTCAATTAACCCCTTTTCATGATAGAGGAATACATTTTTACGGCTTTTATAGTTTGTTTTTTAATTACTAATGCACCAGGATCCTTGTTTTTATTTTTATTTTTTTTGTTAATTCTGTTCATGCTGCCATTAGTAAAAAAATTTTCCCCTTCCTCTGAATTTTCTTGTACTGAACAGGGTATGAATGACAGAGTTGTCCCACCCTCAATGACAGATTTTGTGCAGCGGCTTCTACCAGGGACGATGGTGCATAAGCTCCTTTACGACGGCCATTTCACCTATTATTATTTCTGTGACGAATGCCATAGACAGATTTAGAGAAGTCATTTCACCTATTATTATTTCTGTGATGAATGGCCATTTCACCTATTTACATAACAGTTGGAGATGGTGGAAACATAGAAACACCTGATGTTGATCATGCAGATGACAAATGTCCACCACAGAATACTTACCAGAAATTGGAGGGGTATGCCATTTGAATTTCTCGCCTGGCCCTGCAAAAGGCAAATTTTGTTGGGACATAAATATGAACATTTTAGGTTAATTTCTAGATTTACTCAATCCTTTAAAATTGGTATGTACAGATTTACAATAAACAAATCACTGATTTGTTGGATCCAAGCCAAAGAAACCTCCAGGTAAAGCTGTTATGTCAATTTTTACTTTTCCTTTTACGTTGTTTTGTATAATTTTTACTTTCTATAATTTATTTCTTTTTAATCAAAGTATAGGAATTTAGTTGGATTTGCATCTTTTATTGAATTGGGCTTGTACACTTGTTTAAATGGGTATTTCAAGCTTCAATGATCTTGTATTTTCATTCCTGTTTTTTTACGGGTTTTGTAGCCTCTTGCCTGGATTTGAGTTCATGAATACTCTCTAGTGTGAAATTGATCATACGTTAAAGAAATTGTTGGCAATTTTTGCAATTTTTTTAGAAAGAATGGTGTTTTGCTGAATTGGAGAGCATCAGGTGGTGCCATCAATTATTTTTTTTATTGTCAATTAAAGGTCTAGATTTGTTCATCATAGACATGTTCAACATTGGCCCAGATTTTTGGTTGGATTCAAATTTGAATAGCGTTTTTATTTTTATTTTTATTTTTTCTTTATATGTATTTAGTGCTTCTTGGTATGTGATAAAATCTTCTTGTTAGTGCTTCTTCAAGCTTTAAGTACTGTTTATAAGTATTGGGTACAAATTCTTCAATTTGTGTTTATTTTGGTGAATCTCATTACAGTTTATGTTATGATGCAGGCATGTAGACCAGTGAAGACTACAACTTTAATGCTAAGACATGATTTTTGTATATATGTTAGTTTGTGGTTAATGTTAAGACATGATTTTTGGATATATGTTAGTTTGTGGTTAACGTTTTGGATTTTGGATATGTTAATTTTGTGGGTAATGGTGATTGGATATTAATTGAATGAGAAAGTGAATTAATGCTTCATTACAACTATTTGAATGGGAGTTGTTATTTTATATTAGTGTTAAGAAATCGAAGGCAATAGTGAAAAAGTGAAGAAAGACGAAAGAGTTTTGTCGAAAACCTAAAACGGCGGCAAAAGGTAATCAATGCGCCTGGAGCAGCGCATATGTCAGGCGACGTGCGCAAAAAAAACGTTGTTTATAGGCGCGTCATAAACACGGACCAATAAGGTGAAGACGCGTGAGAGAAACGGTTGAGTAAATGATGCGTGACAGCTCACACATATGAAGAAGTTCACTGGAATTCTTGTTCTCCGAAGTGAACATGTCGGCCTGAAATGAATGATCTCGGTTGAGGAGTTTTTGAGCCAATATACAGAAAGAAATATCGATATAGGTACCATCACCTCAGGATACCGAGGTAATAGAACCTAGGGGGCAGTTGTGGGGATATATTTTTTGAGTACCAACACGTGGCCAAGGTGGCGCCAACGTCTCAGCCGAGGTATCACGTGTCCTGGTCGTGATGCCGAGGTTATCCCGGCTAGGCCGAGGTTATCTCCGAAGATATCGGAATTCGAGATAAGCGGATAAGGCACAAGAGTCCTAGAATGAGGAAGGACTTCAGCATAGATAAGGATAACACTATATAAGGAGAGGCTCCTCCCCCTTTACAGAGGTTCAGCAACTTTAGAGACAATACATCTCTCTCTCTATATTTCTCACTCTTTCTCTCTATATTGAGCTAGTTTGTGCCTTAAAGTATATTTTCTCTTCACTTTTGCACTACAACACCTAGTAACACACCACCATCTTTGAGCTGAGGTTCTTGGGAGTGTTATTTGAGCTCTGAAAGTTGGTTTTTGCCT